ATCCTGGTTCTAGTTTAGAATTAGCCAAAGAGGACTGTGCCTACATGAGGGGCAACCCATTGTTGCAATGTACAGAAAGTGACTGAATGAAGGCACATGTCAATCCCTTCCAGTTGTGCAATTCTCACTTTTTCTGCAAGAAATCTGCATGTGACTGACCATTACCAGACAAGTGCCTTGATGGAAAATGCCAGTATCAATTGCTGGGTTCAGATTTATAGTAAATCTTCAGTTCTTATTTGTTAAAATGTTATACATTATATATGTTTTAATATATATTAAACATGTTATAAATATTGTCATTTCATCCACCCCCTTGTGTGCACACACCCCACTTTGGAAAGCACTATAATAAAAAGGGCCTGGAAGAAGATGCTTTTTCACAGAAGATGGTAAGAGAAGGAGATTGTGAAGTGACATTCATGCTGAAACTGAAATAATGAGGTGGGAACAGCCATGCAAAGAGGAGTGCTTCAGGTACAGTTGTATCACGTAGGGAAGCAGAGCCATTCTGAATATTATGGAAATAAAAGATTTACTACAGGAAGCAGATCTTACACAGATGAAGGAGGATCTCAAGTGCGGGAAACTGGCTCCCACAAGTCCAGGGGTTCCCTTAGGTGGAGACGGAGTCGGTGAGGAAAGAACGCGGAAACAGAGAAGCGCTTTTCAAGAATTAATATCTCACTTTATTTTTACAGCCTGTCCTTTTTATACTGGGCAGGTAACTATTTACGTCATTGAGCTGTTTTTCCCAAAGTTGTTTTTCCACTTTAAACCTTTACCCATTAGGAAATTGTTTTCTACATAGTTTCAATGTTCCTTCCTTCCCAGGGTCTATTTTCTTTAGAAGTTTGTTTTTCTCCGAATTTTACTTCTTCACGATGTTTCTTTTGCAGGGTACAGCCGGATCTGTTCTTCACTAATGACTAACTTATCCTACCTATGTATCAATTTCTTCCACTAATGGCCAGAGCTGAGTTCCTGCCTTGGCACTTAAAGGATGTTTACTACTTAGCAACTATTTCAAACACTACTGGCTAAACAGGATCTTTAAGAATTATAAGGTGCATAACTTGTCTATCACTAAGAATCTATCATTAAGAAACTAACAGTAAAACAGAATTATCATAATACGTCCAAAACTCACTTATTTAAAGAAAATCAAACAATCAATATAAGAAGGAGTGTCAGATCTTTATCCTACTGGGGGCATCCAAAGGGGAATTTAAATTTTTCAAAACATAAAGCAATATCTGTTTCTCAGCCAGAGCTTCAGGATTTGTCGCAATAGCAGTGTGATAGGCCATGTCAGATACTGAGGTGCAGCCGGCTCTCAACACTCAAGAAGTGAAAGTCTGGGAGGATAGTCAAAGTGTTGGAGAAAGATTCACTGACTAATCCATTAGAAGCACTGGTCCAGTTGGACAAATCGAGCTCATGAGAAAATCCAAGAAGCCAAGCCTGTCCAGCTGCCAAATTGGGACTGCTAGAGGTTGTTACATGGCTTCTGTGTAACTATAGCCTCTGTGGGTCCACTTCTGAGTATCTGGAGGAGGGCCTGGGACCATTGTTGGACATGAGACCAACAGTCACGAAGATGAGGTGAACATGGAGGAGAGAAAGGGCAAGCTGAGGTCCACTGGATACCACTGTTTCTATCATTATATATAATCAAGTGTAATGGCCACTTCTTCACTTCTGTTTTACAAATCTCACACAAGTGTCTCTTTGGCTAACTCCAACCTAGAGCCACACAGGGGAGCAGACTCTAGGAAACAGTTTCCAGCTTTACCCAATTGATATAGCACAACCCAGAACAACAGGGAACAGCATATGCAAAGGCCCTGGGAAGGAAATGAACTTGGCGTGCTTGAGAGACAGAAAGAAGGTGAGGCTGAGGCTCCATAAATGAGGAGGAGGATGGAAGGAGCCTGGTCAGAGAAGCAGGCAGAGCTTAACTCATGGAGGGCTTGGTGGGCCATGGAATGATTGACTGAATCCTGAACTACAGGATTTGAAGCAAGGTGTTCGTATTCCATGAGTTATGCTTTGAGAAGGTCATTCTGGCTGCCATGGATCGTAAGGAAGCAAGAGAAAAGATGAGAAAAAGAAGCAGCAGGGAAAATAGGAGGCTATTGATGTAGCCTAGGAAAGAGACGATGGCCTGAACTTCGAGTATAAAAATATAAATACGAAGAACTGGTCAGTCAGGCTTTTGATCTCATATCTCCAACATATTTTTTTCAGTCCTGGAAACCTCCCTCTGTGTATGAGATGTGGTACAGCATCTGTTGCGAGGAAGGTACAGTAGAGATAAGTGGTCAGAGAAGGGTTGCGACTGACACTGAGTACTTTCTATGCACCATGACCTGTGTTGGGCCTGTTCCTTACAACAATCCTGAATGAGAAAGCTGGTGCACGGGGAGGTTAAATAGTATACTTGAACCCAGGTCACACAGCTAATAAGTGGTAGGCTTCTCATCTTAACTCAGATATCTCAGTATCTGGACTCTTAGCTCTTTCCACAATATCCTGCTGTCTTTCAGGTTAAGGCCCTTGTGTGTAGTCATGTCCACAATCAGCAGCTGCTACCTGCCCAGACATCAAGTGTAGCTTGAATGGACCAGGCTGATTTTCTCTGTCCACTCTCAACCTTCTTAGAGACCCCACACTGCATAATACTTCCAGCCCAAATTCCCTGGACTCTTAAATAACTTATCCTGTGTTTAGATCTCCACCATAATTATTTAAGGCTTTATAATATTTAAATATATGTACTTTTAGTATACGGAAAAAGGTTAGGATATTTTTTGGTTTCCTGGGTGTATATCTCATTGGAACAGTATATTACCCTTCAGGATTACGAAATAAATTGCATTCCACATAACTCTTGCAAGTCAATGTTGTTAAAAGGCATTATTGTCATATTTTCAGTAGAAGTTTTTTTCTATCCCCAAAGAGCCCTTTAAAGGGCTTCCATGTCTTTATCTCAATTATATCTGAGATGAAAGCAAATGAATAAAGACATGTGAGAATTAGTGTTAAACATGTAATAGTTGAGATGTATGTTCAAGGCATTAAAAAAATCAAGATTTGTTTTCTGATGACTGGCCCATTTATTGACACCACTGACTTTTAACAAAGAAAATATTTCAGAGTAGAAGGTATATATGCCAATACAGCTTTGAACTTAATTATTTGCTTAGAGAGTATACATGTATATATAAAGGATGAATAATGATCATGTATATATATATGTCATAGCTACTTAGTCAAAACATGTGATTTCTGGTTATTAGTTATACATTGCCCACTTTACCTGTGAGATGCATGGTTACTGGGTCACAGGTTCAAATTAGGGAACATTTAGATTTTTCAGGGAAGTTACATGGAAGGAGGTAAAGAGTTTCATGATTAGATCTTCACTGGGCAGCACTGAAAATCACGAGCAGTGTAAGGAGTGACAAAAGTTTGGAAAGTAGGTATGTTTAAATTTTGGCCAAAGACATCCTCTCCTACACAATTCACTGAACCTCCTCTTTAAGAGAGTTTCTAAGCCATGCAGAGTGGCTAGAAGTGGGTACCACCCATGCCTCCGCTAACAGGATTTGCTGCTCCCTGTAGCTCTTAGTATTTTAATACCTCCTTTCTTCATGAGATCTGGGGAGGTAATCAATACTCACAATACTTTACAAACTCTGAAAACAGTTTAACTGACAATGACACTCATATTTACCTAAAATGAATTTTTAAAAGAGTCTTTGGTGGTTTTCTTGTTAGATCACAGAAAAGTGAGGCTTGTCAGGAATGTATTAAAGGAATTTTTGTATGGGGTGGGGAAAGGTTGGATACTGGTTGATCTCTAAAGCCCCTTCCCACCATAAGATTCTAGGTATCCTGTATATTTTATGAAAACAGTTCAGAAAACCCACAAATGTTTAAACATTTCCTTCTTATTTGTTAGAGAGATCAAGTTAACATCCTGTCATAATAAGAATGTTGCATCACCTTTGGTCACTGCAGGGACAATGGCCTGAAGTTAATGACTAAAAACAAGTTACCAGGGGTTACTCAGTATGGAGTAGCCAATAAATAGCCAGCTCCTGCTGAGGAGATGGCCTGGTTGCCCTCTTACCTGTAACAACTGCAATTAATATATGATTCAAAACATTAGAAACGGTGGCAGATTCAGGGAAATAAATTGTGGCCCTTGCCCTCAGGGAGCTGACAACCTTGTTAGAGAGATAAAATAAACACACACAAAATGTTTAGAAAACAATTAAATGCTCGCCTATGTGGTATGCAACACAGGTGGAATAGGAGTTTTAAGATAATCCAAGTGTCCAGAAGGTTTTATTTAAGAGGCAGGACTGAACTGAGCCTTGAAGACTGGACCAAATGAGGATGAGTGGGAAGAAGAAGGCATTTCTGCGGGGTGTTGGGGAAAGTGAGAAAGGAGTAGACCCAGGTGGGTGAGAACATGACATGCGTAGTAGACAAGGCATTGAATTGTGGTAGGACGGTGAGGAACTGGCTTGACTGAATCAAAGGGGAACAATAAGAAATAAAGTAGTCAACCCTGGCAGGCAAGATGGAGTCATATGGCTCAAAGGCCACACAGAAGGTTCTGAAAGCTCAACGCTAATGTTCTCCATTGATGGTCCCCAGAAACAGCCAGCATGGATCTCTCAGATACATTGTATTTGAGGCCTGTAGGCTGAATCAAATACACATGCCGATGGCCAGGGCAGCTTGGTGAGGTCCAGCTCGATTCCAAACTGCTTGGCTTCCCAGCATGCTGGGGCTTGCTGACGGGATACTCTCTGGAGACTGCCGTCTGCGATGTGGGAAGCCTAGGGCTGCTCTCCCAGGCAGCTGTTGTTTGTGGGATGTAGTGGGAGGCATGTGTCCACATGTGGTGTTACTAAGTTCCTGCTTTTAAGCGTGATGAAATTCAGTTAGTTGGAGATGGAAGAAAAAACTATAGCCTCTAACAATTCTTAACATTTGGACTTTAAAAGCAACTTTCTAGCTTTAATTACAATTTCATAATGATGCTTTAAATTTTCTAGTCAGATCAACAAGCTTATAGATTAAGACGCAATCCCTTTTTGGAATTATTTCAGTATAATTAAAAAGGACATTTTAAGCGCAAAATCTTGTTGGTAAAGTGGTCATTTATGTAGTCTTCTTTTGACGTGGACGTTGAGATCTTTTAACTTTTAGAACATTCCTGCTTTTTTGATGTTTTATCCCTTTCTTTTGCTTTTTCTTTTGGCTGACCTGCAAGGAGAGGGGAAAAAAAGGGCAAAGTTTCTTTATCTTACAATATTTTCCTCCCTTATATTATATTTGGACTGTCTAGACTGTAGTTTTTCTTTATCCTCACAACCGATTTAAAGCTGCTTCACTCTCAGACAGGCTCCTTTTGATTCTCTCTACTTCACTCACTTTGAAGAGGAGGCAACAGCCTTCTAACAGGTCTTCTTTGTCCATTTTCCTGGCTTATTACTACCTTCACTCCAACCTTGCTTACGACCCACCTGTCCAAACTATAACTTTCTGAGGTTGGTACTATTATAATCAACTTTTTACATATGGGGAGACTAAGATTTGGAGAGGTTGACTTGCCCAAAGTTGCATAGCTAGTATGTGGCAGAACTACTAGTCTGTCAGACTCCAGGAGCCAAGCTCCCAACTCCATATTTAGTGTCCTTTTTCAAACATAATTCCTTAGCATGTCATACAAGATACATGCTAGTGTTCTCCAGTGGTGGTCCCCAGAAATGACCAGCATGGATCTCTCAGATACATTGTATGTGGGGCCTGTAGGCTGATTCAAATAAACGTGCGGATGGCCAGGGCAGCTTGCGAGGTCCAGCTCGGTTCCAAACTGCTTGGCTTCCCAGCATGCTGACAAGGCAGGGCTTGTTGACATGGGCCTTGGAATACACTCTGGAGAGTATTCTAGTCTACTTTTTTTAACCACAATCTCTTCACTCTCCTCACAAACTCCAGACACATTACTTGAGGCTCCCTGAACACAGGAAGGTCTCTCATGATTCTACTGTTTGTTTGTTTTTTCATGATGTCCTTACCGCCCCCCCACCCCCCATGAACTAGTAGGTTGTCGGAAATGTCATGAAGCATTTTTGCAACAAAAAACAGAAAAAAATACGTCATGACTTTCCCGACAATCTAATACTTATCCTTCACAATCCAAATCAAAGTCATCAGATATGAGAGTCTTCCTTAACACTTTCTCCCTGCACCTCCCTCTGGCAAAGTTAATTACTCCTTCTATAATCTTCAAGATTCTTGCACATATTTTTATATTTCTCACATTGTACTATGATTAATTGTTAGCATATCTGCTACAGCAGGAAGGTACTATATCTTATTACCTTTCTATCCTTTGTGTCCACCATTCAATTCAATACATATTTATTGTGTTGAATAAGAAAGGTAAGCTTCCTACCCTCATGGAACCTAATTTCTAGTGGGGGAGATAGACAAGTGATACTCTATGCAAGAAGGCAAGTATACCTTAAGGTGATAACATCATTCTAGGGACAAAATAGGAGGACAAAATAATTCACAGTAATGTGAATGAAAAATGTACCCTTAAAGGAATCACATAGATTCTTTGTCTTCCAAAGTTAATTTTTAAGAGGAAGAAAATTTTGTTCTTTCTTTCACCAACCTGTTTTCCCCACTTTTGAATCAGTTCTTTCACATCTGTTGAATCTGGGTTTAGACATCTTTGATTCCCATTCTTCAGTGTAGCACTGCCAGGGAAATAGCAACAAGATTTTTTTACTTTTTGTTTTCTTTCTTCTTCTTCCCTGCCCCCCCTTTCCCCACCCACCTCACACCCCAGCATCTACCCAGGTGCCCCCTTTGTTCATTCCTATCCCGAGGGCAGCTCAGGCCTCCCATACTGATCCTCTGCCTCAGCAGCCACAACCGGCAGAGTGTGAGCCCAGGCCCAGTGGGGCCATCTGAGGATCACAAAGGTCTAAGCTGAAGGGACGTGCTGTTCTGCTAGAAGCCAAAAGAATCACCCAAAGATGAGCTTAAAGATGCTGCAGGATTGAAGTGGAGAGGATCTTAGACACTAGCAAGAGTTTCCTTCAATAAAGGTCGACAGATGCACTGGAATAAATGCAGAAGGGGAGTTTTCCTGGTGCTTTCAAAATAGCAAGCGCTAATGGCT